TATATATACACAGAAAGGGAAAATCTCTGATTTATTCCTGGCTGGTTTTATTATGGCTCTTGTATACACTTCTATTTTAAGCACAACATGAACGTATAAAACTCACCGGACAGCCAGGTGCTCCAGGATCCCTCCCATAGCCAAGAAATGAAGGCCTGTCTGATTTACCTGCAGCAACACAGAAAGACAAAAAATTATAACGATTGTGCTTTATGAGCAAAACCCTTGTTAAAAAACCTCCTGTCTCCCACAGGATTTATCTACAGTATGAGTGATACAAAAAGAGAGATGAATTCATTTCACTTTTTCCCAATGGTTGGTAATGTCTCCTTTATTTATTTATTTATTTAATATCAGGACTATTGCAAAGCCTCGACACAACTGTCAACAACAATGCACATTTCTGACAAACACAGACAGCCTTTTATTGTTATATAGTCTTTAAACATTAAAGCTTCACTAAAACTATGGTGCAATGAAATTCCTGTAACTCCAGGTATTTGCTGAAAGTTTTAACATGTTTTATTTCCCGACATAATTTTACCGTAACGCTCTGGCTTCTAAAAACAACGGCTTTAAGCTCTAAGCTCCTCTAACGTCTTGTTCACAGCTGTAAGAATGTTTTTTTAAAGCAGAGACCTGCAGGCACGACGAAAGGTGGTGAGTGTTGCCAAGAACATTATGATGATTAATGATTGTTGTTTTTTTTAGTTAACCTAAAAATAAATGAACAATTCTACTTAAATATAACACATTATACATAATATTTAAACAAGAATATTTAAGAGTGACATCTCATGGAAGCTTGTTAAAATTGTTTAATTTCTGTCTACAATGCATTATGCGATAATGTGACAGCCTGAATCCAAACAAAGAGAGTGATTGATAAATTAATTAACTGACAAACTGGATCAGGTGTCGTAGAAGAACTAAATAGATAAAACAAAAATTTGTCAGATTAAAAATACAGCAGTTCTGGGTCATAAGGGTTTCACTACATTTTCAGTGAATTAATTACTGAGCGTGTGTCGATTGTCAGAGTCCTTCAATCACATCCAGCGTGCACACCTCAAAGTAAGACTAGTTCCCAGCAGTCGTCAGGGGGGAAAAAACATACATACATGAATCATAAACATCACAACATCCCAACGCAGCAGTTTTATTTCGCTGAAAGAACAAACAAATAAACAAATGAGGGCTCCTCAGGGAGAATGATGAATAACTTTAACAATATCATACATTATTTTTTGTAAGACTTCCAAATATTACAAACACAAGTGTTAGGACTAAATTCTGTTTACTCTGGGGACGAGGTATTTTTTTGTGTGTGTGTGTGTGTGTGCATTAAGAACATGCATTGCCAGGATCTTTTGTTACACAATGAGTGATCGGAGCACTGTTTCCACGGGTGCAGGTGAACAGAGGCACGTCTTGTGCTTATCTGAGCAGTCCTGCAGGAGACAGTTGTTCTGCATCTGTGCAAGACTGTCTCTGGGGACGAAAGGAAACCGGGGAAGATGGTTTTCGCTGCTCGCTCCTGCAACAATAACGTGATACAGTTCTGAGCCACTGCTCCTGCAAAAGGAAATAGGATTAAGTTGTCGGTTACCACCAACGTTCACGATTATCGGAGTATGATGAAATATCTCCTTTGACGAGAATTTTAATTTCTTTACTTTCCGTCTAATATGTAAAAGTGGTTTAGTAAAATTCRTTTTTATCCCTTAGATGTCTCCAGAGAAAAAAAAGGTCTACTCAAGTGCAAGAGTTAAATATTCATTCCCAGCATGTGTTTTGTCACACACACTGGTTAGGATATGAATAATTGATGGTCACTGTTGTAATTCAGACCCCACCAGCAGACAGATGTGTTTGTGAAAACACAGTCACAGTCTATACAATCATACAGAAAAAGACRCACAGTTTTTCAAAGCAAAACACTTTCTGGGTTCAATGTTCAAATGCTGTAGCTTAAACTACAAATAAAAAATTCACAGAATCAGTGTATGAAAGAGGATACGCTCAACAAAAGACAACACATGACAAATTTCCATGCATATTTTGCTGTTTGTTTTTTAATAAGAAAAGGAATGCTTACAAAATAAGGGCTTTCTTTGGTGATATAACAGTTCAGTAAGTGAATGAACTAGACAATGCACCTTGACTGTAAAATTTAAACATTAAAACATATTATACACTCCACAAGTGCTGAATTAAGCTTTTGCTTAATTAACAGCATTTACAAGAAAGTCTTCAAAATGTCCCAATACGTTCACAGAGGTCCTCAATTTTCTCACGACTCCCAGAGACTTGCAATCTTGTTGCTTGATTTTTGTAAAAGTTCAAAATTTTGCAACAAATTTTTAGTCCAAAAAGTCACACAGTCGTCAAAAGTGTCCTGAACCCGTCCTAATTTGGTGTCTCCTGAAGTTGTGTCCAAATTCAGAAGCTGCATCCTTTGAAGGACACGGCCTACCCGGTCTAGATGAGCCGGAACCGTGGTCAACCGCGAATACTGGAAAAAAGTGTCTGTCAATTTGGATGGTCTAACCGTCAGCTTTATTCCCACCCTCACCCCAGCATACGTCCTGTCGCCTAGCAAACGTGACAAAATGAGCAATATTAGCAAAATATCAATAGATTAGCATTACTGATATTATAAAATAACAAAATTAACTTATAGGCTATATTTGAAAAACAGGCCCGCAATACATGCGCGTTTATTTCGCTATAACAGCTCATTTGATTTCTGATAAGAATAATATTAATAATATATATTAATATATATTAATAATATTTCACCCTCTGTCCTCTAGCTGTAGAATATGTTGCGCATAGTGAAACATGTAAACAACAACAGTGGTTGTTTTTTTCCTTGGAGTCAGAGGAGCCAAAGTTTTTTTTTGTTTGTTTTTTTGTCAACCGCAGGGCTGAGATGGAAGTGGAAATCAGTACACGTTCGCATGCTCAATAGGACCAGATGAGCCACCCTTCGAAGCTGCCCATCCTGCTAATTTAACAACCATCTTCTGCTATTGGACAGGACTGTTTTCAGCAACAAGTAGAATCGCATGCTGCTGCTCTGCAGCTTACAGACATTTTGTTTAATAAATGTTCTCTTTAATGATAGCAGTGATGACACAGCCACAAACACAGCCACAGGTGTGTGTTCTTAAAATAATCTGTTTTCCCACCAGAGAATGCACTGCAAGTGCTAAAAAATCCTGAAGTCTGTATGAAATTAGGAATAGCATTATACACGAGGATTAGATTATTTTTAAAGCTTTTTAAACTCAAAAAATGGGGATCGCATTATAAACGAGATCACATTATACATGCATACATAAATCTTCAGTGTTGGGGGCAGTAGCAAAGYGGGTACAAGGTGAAAGGAGGTGGGTATGACGCGGACACAGGTGGGTGACCAAATACTGTTAACAGTCTGGAATASAGTTTTGTATGTAGCTGAATAAAATAAGCTGAGTTTTCCAAAAACGAGCTGTGCAAAGTGCAACAGTGTGACACACAAACACTCAGAAATCAGTGCCTTTATAGTCTGGGATTTTCTGCTGTTTGGACTGCAATAAATCATAAACCATTGTCATTCAAGTACTAAGCATTCATGTTCTGCTGCCAATAATATATTTGGTCAATTTAAYACTGACACTGGTGCCAACACCTGGTTTAGATGATGACAGAGGAGAAAGTGAGGAAACAGTGAGTTTATTGGAATTTTGCACAATAACATTGCACATTGCAATATTTTTTTCTAATATTGTGCAGTCCTACAAGTGTTCTATACCCAAACAGCAGCCAATCATTGTACCTTCTTATTATGTGGTTCCATAACATTGCTGCTCCAAGACCCACTCTACCATCTTCGGTCGTTTGCATGTGAAATCTGAAGGATTCATTAAAACTGATGAATCGTTAAAAAACACTCATTTTAGTAAATGGCTAAGACAGGCTTCACACAGGCAGCGCGGTGTGTGCTGCACGATGATTTTCAATTCGGCTGCCATGTTAACGGATTAGTGCACACAAACCAGCTGCATGTCACATCCGCTCCGCAGCCTGGAGTCTACAAGAGTTTTGTATTGCTCATGTGGGAGGTATGTGTCAGGTAAGCAGTTTTCAGCAAACAAGTCTAGAGTATAAAAGGCATGACAAACTGTGTACACCATTTTTTAAATGTTGATTTAAGCACCTCTAACTTTTAGTTCAAACAGCCTGCAGTCAGATGTAACTCTGGCAGAAGAGATGGTTACAGACGTGCTCCTGTACCCGAAAATGTGGCAGCAATGAGTTTAATTCAGCACAAGATACAGAAATCCCAGATGGCCAAGTTTCTTTAGGCGTCTGCCTGAAGATGCAGAACCTCCAACCACTTTATCTAAACTGATACTTCATCACAGCAATCACAAAAGAAAACAATTATCAAACAAAAATGTCTAACCAACAAGGTTTTTCATCACTTTTTTTAACCAATCTCTTGTATCACTCCTTCAGAGATGGGGACTCGTGACTCAGACTTGGACTTGAGTCGCACTTAAGTCCCCAATATTAAGAGACTTGGACTTGACTTGGACTTGTGGTTTGAGACTTGCGAACAATGCAAGTCCTTTCACCGCCCGGCTCAGGATTCTCACTCCCTCAATACACATCCATGCTCCGCTCCTTTGAGAATAAATACATAAAGTTTTAAGAGCAAAGACATAAACTCCTGCTCTCAAACTGAAAATATACGCTCTTGATTAAAGTCAGAAGTCATTTTATTGTAAAATCAGCAGCAGACTTGTTGGATTTGTTTTGTCAATGGCAAGATATACCATATTTATTCATGTATAATACGATCTTATGTATAATACGACAACCCCCCCCCCCTTTTTTTT